ACTTTCAAGAGAACATGAGGTCAAGAAATCCTTGGGCGGGGCCTCTGGCTCAAGGAGTAGGATGCCAGCCCCATATACCAGAGGTGAGGGGTTCAAACCCAGGCCCAAAAAGAAATCCTTCAGGCAGGCTTTCTGGTTTTCTCCTCTGGGTTAAAGATGTGAGGGCAGAGAATGGTAGAGGCTCAGAGTCAGGAAGACAGAGCTAGGATGGCTGGTTGAGGGAGGAGGGCAGAGCTAGCAGAATGCTGAGGTGATGGCCACCTGCTTCCTTCCCTCATCCCTGTAGAAGCTGCTGTTTGAACGGGGAAAGGAGTCGCTGGAGTCTGAGTTCCGAAGCTTGATGACTCGGCACAGTAAGGTCGTCTCCCCTGTGCTCATCCTGGATCTAATCAGTCCCGATGATGAGCTGGAGGTCCAGGAGGATGTGGCCCTGGAGCACCTGCCAGAGAGTGTCCTCCAGGATGTGATCCGCATCTCCCGCTGGCTGGTGGAATATGGCCGCAACCAAGGTGAGGGGCTCCAGCTCGACCCCAGGGGAGACCCAGCGGGAGTTTTCTCCTCTTTGTTCTTTAATCCATCTGGATTTTTTTTTAATAAAAGGAAGTTTAATAGGAAACATTATAAGCAGTAATCACAGCCTACATATCAAATTGTGAACCTGGCCAAATCCAAGCTTTTCTTTATCTGCCTTGTTTTTAATGTTTCTTTAGTTTTTTGCTTAGTTGTAAAATTTTCAAATAGTACAGAAAGCTTTAGGTGAAGAGTAACAGTCCATCTCCTAACTTCTCTGATCCTTGTAATAGCCTAACCCAAAGATGAGCACTGTTAAAATTAATCTGTATTCACTTCTGAAGAATCTTCATGCAGTTGTGTGGGGGGGGAGGAGAGTGCATAAATACAGAGGTGTGTGTTTTCTCCTCACAAATGGGGGGGCACATACGAAACACTTTCACCATTTTTTGATGTGGTTTTTTTTTTTTTAGCTGTATGATACGCTTTAAGATTGTTCTGTATCAGTACAGGTAGATTTGCCTTGTTCTTTTAAACATCTACATAAGTGTCCATGGAATGGTTGTAGCATCATTTCTTTAGTCAGTCCTAGGACATAAAAATAAATCTGTTTGGCTGGGCACAATGACTCATACCTATAATCTTAGCACTCTGGGAGGCTGGGCAGGTGGATTGCCTGAGCTCAGTAGTTTGAGACCAGCCTGAGCAAGAGTGAGGCTGGTCTCTAGTGAAAATAGAAAAACTAGCTGGGAGTTGTGGCAGGTGCCTACAGTCCCAGCTACTTGGGAGGCTGAGGCAAGGGGCTTTACCCCTAGAGTTTCAGGTTGCTGTGAGCTATGATGACGCCACAGCACGCTACCGAGGGCAACAGAGTGAGACTCTGTCTCAAAAAAATGAAAAATGAATAAATTAGTTTGTTTGTTTTTTGAGACAGAGTCTCACTCTGTCACCCCAGGCTAGAGGACCATGGTGTCAGACTGGCTCACAGCAACCCCAGAGTCCTGGGTTCAAGTGATCCTCCTACCTCAGCACCACCTATCGCTGGGACTATAAGTGTCCACTAGGACACCTGGCTGATTTTTCTTTTCTTTTTTTTTTT